TTTAATATTTTATAATCAGGGTATGCTTGGCATTCAAGAGTAAAAAATTAATATGAAAGTAAAATTTTATCATTAGAGATTTTTTTTTTTTTTTTTGTAAATAGAGATTTTTATATTTACGGGGAACCGAAGTAACATAATTTTATCATTAAAAGTCTTAATATTAGAGATTAAGGGGTGTATTAGATTGAGATTTCAAAAAAATTTAATAGATTGTTTTTGGACGAAGTTGGTATTGGATTAGAATTTTAATGGATTGAAAAAAATTCACGTGGTATTCGATTAGGATTTTAATGGATTGAAAAAAAGTCACGTGGTATTCAATTAGGATTTTAAATAATTATTTCCAAATTCGTTGGTATTCAATCAGGATTTTAAACAATGGAATCACAATCTCGTGATATTCAAAAAATTTGATGATTTTAATGGATTTTCTATTGTTGTGAATTTCGAGAGATTTTTTAGTGAAAAATATAAATAGGATGCCTCTCTCACAATATCATCCTAACCCCTAGGATTCCTTGAGATTCTTCTTTTCTTCTTCCTTTGGCAGGTTGATGACTGCTCGAAATTGGGTTCAGCCATGGGAGCTTCATCAAAACCAAAAAAGAAAAAAAAAACATATTTTTGGACGATTTTTATCACAAAATAATCCAGAAACAACAAGCCAACAATATTTTAATATAATCTATCTCAAAAATAAAATATTTTTGAGCCATTTTTGAGAAATTTTGGAAGTTTAAAAAATGATTTTTCAAGCTATGGGTCGCGATTTTTCTTGGCACAAAAACGTGTGATTTTTATATTAAAAACGATATAAAATAGTGAAAAAAATAAGATGGAAACTAAACCTTTAAACTAATTTTTCTTTTGCATCAATAAAACAATATCAATTTAAAGAAAGATTGAAACTTTCATAATATGAACCCTATATTTCGTAACAATATATTTATGAACGAAATTCTTTCACTATAGGAAACAATTTTTATGTCAATAGATAACCAAAAAATTGTTTCTGAAAAGCCCCAAAGCAATTTAAGGTTTCAATGTATCGATTGAAATTTTTTTGAGAAATTTTATAAACTTTCATGTAATTAACCCAAAATTTCATATTCGAAATTTTCTTAGAATATTTAATGAAAATGTGCATATGATATATGGTTAGAAAACTCTCTTCACGTAAAACAAAAATCTCAAGTTTTTTTATGATCAATTGCAAAAAATTCCAAACGAAATTTTATCATGAACTTTAGGTTCTATATGCTAATTTAGAATTATTTTTATAATTAAAAAAATTGGGTCTTATAATCATATATGCATAGCTTTGATACCAAATTAAGAAGATAATTTTCAACCCATTATATATGTGAAAAGCTATTGTTTAGTAATTTTGAATGTTTGTTAAAAATTATATTATGTTTTACTGATTGAGAAAATTATATTAGCTTTTACTTTTTTTAATAATTTCATTGCATTTCATTGTTATTTTTTTATAGGGAAGATTATACTTACAACCTATTTTTGTTTACATAACTTAACCGATGATTTCCGTCAATCAATGATTATTATTTTCGCAAATCAAACTCATTAATTAATTATAATTTGCAATGAATGATAACCGTTGATTAACGAAAATCAACGATTAAGATATGATTGTAAAATGTTGTAAACAAAAATATGTTGTAAGTATAACCTTTGGCTATTTCACCTTTTTGCCCCTCATTAATTATTTAATAACCATTTTGCTCTTCATTCAGAACTATCTACCAACATGCCCCTCTTTAATCGACTAAATTGAATATTTAATCGATTAAATGGTCAAATGAAGATTTAATCGATTAAATCTTCAACTTAATCGATTAAATGTTCCTCTTTATCAGAAGAACAACCTTATGCATGGGAGATTAAATAGGGAGATTTAATCGACTAAATCTTCAAGTCAACGATTTTTGCCTATTTTGACCATTTAATCGATTAAATTTTTGGCTTAATCGATTAAAGATGGGCAGATTGGTAGATAGTTCTGAATGAGTGGCAAAATGGTTATTAAATAATTAATGAGGGGCAAAAGGGTGAAATAGCCTATAACCTTTCCCTTTTGTATTGACTCTTGTAATTTTAAATGTTTGTTAAAAATTCATATGATTTTTTAAAATTTTATAAATCCATATTGTACTTTCAAATCTTATAAATTCTATTAAAATCCTTTAAAATCTAATCTTATGAAATCTTGATTGTAAAAAAAGTTTTTTAAAAAAGTCTTTAATGTCTCTCCACTTCTAAAATATCTTTTAAAATCTGTAGGATTTTTTATCTCAAAAAAGTCTTTTAAAATCCTAATCTAATACACTATACACCCCACTAAGTGATATACATGTTATAATTACGAGGAACGGAAGTAAAAAATTTCCAAAATTTAATTTGTATGCATTTATAATTTTTATATTATAAATTAATAATAAGGTCATTTGAACATGTACTCTAACAAATTTTGGTAAGAATTTTGAATAATAGAAATATTCAATAAAAATATAATATTTAATATATTTAAAACTTAAATGCATTATTTTTATTTATTAGTTTTTTTATATCCTAAATAAATTTTATAAGGAAATTTTTTTTGCATTTGTCATAATAATGTGTGGGAATTAATATGAAATGATTTCATTTGTTCATTATCAAATTAATTTTTATCTTTTTTTACTAATTTTTTATCTTCTATTTTTTTTCTCATCTTTTATCATTGTCAATTTATAGATAAACAGCCGAGATAATTCTCATATATATATATATATAATATATGTGTGTGTGATTATATTACTTAATAAATATAAATTATATTTACAAAATAATATGATAACACATTATTAAGTAGTAACATAATTTTCATATACAAATAAAACATTATAATTAAAATTTAAATAATAATAAAAAATTCAGTAGACAAATAATAATAATTTAGCTAACAAGTAACTTTACAATAAAAGAATGAAATAATAAATTAAAAAAAATTAATGCATTACAAAATTTTACTGTTTCATATTTCTTAGTTAAACTCAGCATAAAACTTTGCCAATTATTAGAATTCAAAGGAACATGTGTCCATTTATTGGAAACCTGAGATCTCAAACATAACAGTGTATGTTTGGTCATTTTTTTCAATTTTTCTCTAATAAAATTATTTTATATCAAAATAAGTTGATTCAAATACATAATTAATACATTTTTATTTCATAAGAATATTACAAATGTATATAAGTTAAAAAAAACAATAACTGTTGAGAATTAAAAACAGGCATGCTTGCACTTACTTCATTAATGAGAATTGTCTTTCAAGTTTTATGGCGAAAACTATCATCGTGTAACTCTACATATGCGAAAAATTATTCTTATGCTACATGTGATAACTTTCTCTCTACACACCCTTCGATAACTGTGTCACATCTTTCTTTACTTTTCTTTTTCTTTTTCAGGTGGTGGAATCCACGAATTTATCTCTATGACATGAGATAACTTATCTACTTTAACATGAGATTAATAAAACCCTAGATATATACATTATATTTGATCATCAAGTAATATAAACAAATGGAAGCGTAGCGTAATTATCTCCATGTAAATCAATTTGTACTCTTTGTGCATTTTTTTTTTGTAGGCTTCTTTGTGCATTTTTGGAATTGAAATTATTTGTCTTTCTCAGACAAATAACATATTCTTGATCGATATTATCTCTAGATGGGGTAGTAAGAACTTACTTTGATTTATTGTAGACGGCAACCCAATTTTTTTTATTATTAGGCTCATTGGCTTATAAGTAGCTTCTAGCTTAAAAATAAGAGGATCCAAACAGGCACCTAGTTGGGGGATTATCCAGTCATTTAGGCCATTCTAATTCAAGATTTTTTTGTTTGGATTCTTTATTTTGATCAATTAATTTACCTAATAAAGTAAATAGCATTATTTATATAAAAAAAAAAATAGCATTACATAACTAATTAGCAATTCCTCAGTCTGGATCTGAAACGCTTCCACGGTTCTCTCTTGTAACATACTTTAAGACTAGTTATAAAACTCATTCACTTCAAACTTTTTCTCATGGAAATAATTTTATCTCATATACACATATAAAAAAATATAAAAGACTCATTTTTTGTTTATCTCTCTTCTTTTATCATAATCCGACCCCATACACTTTTATGATTTTTTTATAAAAAATAATTTTATCTATTTTCTTATTTTATATACCTATAAACAAGAAAAATATTAAACATTTATTTCTATTACGTTTTCTTTTTAATCCTCCATCCTAATATACTCTAAGGTTGCTTTTTATACATATTGAAGTCCAATATTACAAACAAATTAGAATAGTACAAGTGTTATCCAAAAAAAAAGTAGAAGTGTTTGAATCACATGATAATATTTTATACTTTTAGTAATTTCATGTCCAATGCATATGACTAAAAAATTTGTAATATCCATAAATAGAAAAAATCAAAATTAATTACGATACCCTTTGTTGTATATTTTTTTAGGAGAAATAAAGCTAAAATAATAAAGGTGATAAAATAATGAGTTTTTTTTTCTGCCGTGAATGTAGATAAATTATTTACATTAAACCTAAAACGACGTCATTTTGTGACAGAAATCAAAATTTTTTTGTAATTATAATTTATTTCAAGGTTATAAAAGTCTTTCTCGTTATAATTTTTTAATTTTTCAATTCAAAACAACATTATTTTGAGAGTAAATGTAAATATTTTATCAACATTCACAGTAGAAACGTTAAAAGCTAAAATATTAGTTAAAAAGAACTTCACTTATCGTGGATCAAAATTCAACTCGGGATTCTACCAAAAAAAAATTGACATACATAATCTCTCGCGAGAAGAAATAAAAGGAGAAACAAAAGAATCCTATCAAATTAATCTTCATCACAAAAGTGCAAACTTCCTACTACCGCAGCAAGTTTAGAACTTACATGCACAACAGCGTAAACGCCATGCAGAAAAGATGGATGCTCTAAATTTTGCTCAACACAACAAATAAGTTATATTTGAATTGACTATAAGGTTCCAACATTGCAGCTTCACATAGAAATTCTTGCTTCCGCGTGATGCTCTAAATTTTTGCTCAACACAACAAATAAGTTATGGAATCCATAGAAGTTAAGTCACAAGAAGTAAGAATTCCTTATTAATGTTACATTTACATCGTATCATTTTAATTAGGAAAGGGCAACCTGAAAAGACCAAATGACTTGTTAATTCCTGAAACATCACATTTTTCTCAAACTAATTAGGGTCGGGTAGATAGATAAATCCAAAAAAACAAACAAGAAAAATGACTTGTTAAATATGTAGCAAATTGTAGCGGGGTTAAATAGTCAATAAACAGAAGGGACAGAACAACGTTTAAGCCTGAGTTTCTGTTTAAGTGTTATGTGGCGTTTGCTTACCCTAACTTAAGAGATGTGTCAGAGGAATCATCCTCAAGAGAGGGGCCACTGTTGCAGCTGCAGACATTATTCATAGATTCTGATGAGACAACTTCCTTCATGGCAATATCTGACTCCACCAGGAAAGAACTTTTTTCCTTACACAGCATAGCCATCTATACGACCCAATTAGCTAAATTAGATTTGTAAAATCAAATTAAAAGAACCCAAGATCTTACAAAATAAATATACAATGAAATTCTTATTTCTCATACCTTTTGCTTTAACTGCTTGTTCTCATCTTCTAACTTGATTCCCTTTATTGGCATATGGTTAAAGAATGCAGAGAAAATTAAGAACGTAAAATCCTCATAATTCTAATGTGACTGTAAAACTAAAAACAAAGACATCTATATGGCGGAAGTCATTATTTCACTAAATTCTAATGATATCACAAAAATTGAAACAGAGGCTTTAATGTTATATCTAGCGCTTTTAGGATTACATGTACATAATTTGACCTTGTACATATATATAAAACAGTAATATCTGAGCATCTATATATGTATAACTACGATACTAGACAAGAATCTCATCCTTTTGTGGGTCCAGAGCAATATATAGTACTACATATATAGTATTTCAATTTGATTATTTTGATTTAACATAATATTATCAGGTATAAACTAAGAGAAAACACTTTCTCCTTTAATAGGAGAATTGTTTTCTCATGTTAGTGAGAGATCGTTTTGCGTGCAATATTTTTTTCATTTTTTATTTTTTGTTTATGATGAGATCCATTTAAATTATGTATGTGTAGGAATTTTTCTAATCCATTGTTAAATGAGAAATGGAAAGCCCATAAACTAAGTTCATCATCATTTAAAAAAGCTACCTACAGTTTATCAAAAACAAAAACAAAAAAGCTACCTACAAACCTTATTCTGAAATGCAACAATCTCGTCCATAATCCGATTTTCCTGAATGTAAAGGTTGCATTGAGTTATGGTATAAATCAACAAGTACCAACAGGGATGTGTCTGTTAAGAACCTTGAAGTCACCACCCTAAAAGCTAGCTCAAAGGGTGAGAGTGCTCAAGACCATATAAAGGTTACATTAGTTGCTCATACAACCAATGTGAGACTATATTTCTCAACAGTGTCCAAATTAATCAAATGACGTCGCGCGTGTATACCTTTGTCTCAATCACGCGCTTGAGTCCTGTTACAAGTGTTCTCTCCAGTTGTTGCAAGTCATCCAAGTTTAGCCCTTGAAAATCCTCACCTTTCATCCGCCTGGTCAAAATATATGAATGCTGAATTTTACGCACAAACCTAAAAGCATTTTCTTTTCTTATATGTTATCTCTTTTTTCAATTTAAGAAAACTGAGAAACCTTAGTTGCTGGGCTTTATCAGCAGTTTCCTTACTCAATTCAATGTTGTTGCTAGTATTCTCTACCTGAAATGAACGACAGAATTTGCCAAATTATATTAGTAAAGCTGTATCAACAATTTGTGGAACTTAAAACCGTACAGCCTAACAGTAAGAACTAAGCGGGAATTTGATTAATTACATCACTGTCTGATAAACCAGAATGAATAAAACAAAGATATGAAACTGCATAAACAATAACAGATCACAGAAAATAAATAAAAGCAACGATGTAAATAAAATATATTGAACTTTACAATTTAGACTTCAGAATATAAGTTAAATTTAGACAACAAGCCTAACTGAAAGCCTGTTAAGAATGGTACGGGGGAGCCCAAAAACCCTTTGCAAGATAGACATCCATGGGCCAAGCGATAAACCACAATAAGTGGGCCGACGCCACATCTCAACCCAAAACCTTAAGGCTGTAGGTTTATGGGTCTTTTTGCACTTATATAGTCATTACTTGGTCTATGTCTAGTCGATGTGGTACTTCTTTATAACTCATACTTGAATACTTCCAACATCTTCCCCTCAAGTATGAGACCCAACATTATGCTCCCCCTTAAGGGAAACTTCTGCGGAAGTCTTTTTTCTTTGAACTATTGGAGTCACGCTAGCCTTCTACGGAGGCCTTGAAACATCACCATCTCTAAATACCCGGCCCAGCCAAACCTTTGGCTCTGATACCACTGTTAAGAATGGTACGGGGGAGCCCAAAAACCCTTTGCAAGATAGACATCCATGGGCCAAGCGATAAACCACAATAAGTGGGCCGACGCCACATCTCAACCCAAAACCTTAAGGTTGTAGGTTTATGGGTCTTTTTGCACTTATATAGTCATTACTTGGTCTATGTCTAGTCGATGTGGTACTTCTTTATAACTCATACTTGAATACTTCCAACATCTTCCCCTCAAGTATGAGACCCAACATTATGCTCCCCCTTAAGGGCAACTTCTGCGGAAGTCTTTTTTCTTTGAACTATTGGAGTCACGCTAGCCTTCTACGGAGGCCTTGAAACATCACCATCTCTAAATACCCGGCCCAGCCAAACCTTTGGCTCTGATACCACTGTTAAGAATGGTACGGGGGAGCCCAAAAACCCTTTGCAAGATAGACATCCATGGGCCAAGCGATAAACCACAATAAGTGGGCCGACGCCACATCTCAACCCAAAACCTTAAGGCTGTAGGTTTATGGGTCTTTTTGCACTTATATAGTCATTACTTGGTCTATGTCTAGTCGATGTGGTACTTCTTTATAACTCATACTTGAATACTTCCAACAAAGCCACAATTATAATTAACAAATTAATAAATATAGAAAAAGATCATAAGAAATTTTTTTAATACTACCTGCAGTTCTAGAGGACTGTCCAATTCGTTGTTGTCATGGAAGTGCCGATTATACCTCGTAATTATGTCCTTCATACTTCACCAAACCAAAACAATAAGGAAAAGGAATCAAAAAGAAAATGTTATGCATATATTCAATCCGAAATTATAGAAATTAGGAAACATGATGCGAAAGGCTTTCACAGCCCTACATCATTTGAGGTTGGTAAATTTTGGCAAACAGAAACATTAATAGTGACATATATAATTATTTTAGAGAAATGTTATAAAAAAATAAAAAAAAATCATTAATATATTTACCTAATAGCTTCAACTTTTGAGTTGAAATATTGGAGTATTTTTTATTATGACCAATTAGTCACGAATTTAATTATCACAACTTTTATTTTATTAATAAATAATTAAATATTATGGAGTTTCTTAGTATGATAAGTGGACTTGAGAATTATTCATCCTTTAAATTCAACAAGTGGGAACGTGTTAGAAAAATATGTTATAAAATATAAAAAAAATCATTAATATGCCTTCTCCTGGCAATTTAACGTTTTAGGTTAAAATTTCATTGAACACCTGCCTCTTTTGATTGCAATGAGACCTAAGCACATATATTTCCTTATCCTAATACTAGAAGGAAGCCACCACTTTTACAAAATGCATTTTTGGGAAAATAATTTATCCGTCCATGCTGGTATACATGAACGAATAAGTGGTGGCACTGCAATGATAATAAATCTATGAGAAAATCTAACAAATATAATGATATAATAACAGGGAAAGAGGAAGTAATGAAACTGCAGTAACTCGACGCTACGTATACATTATATTTCTTGTGCAGGAGCACCCGAACCATCATCATAAGAAACTTTTCTTGTAATTTTATATGCTTCTCAAATATGCAGAAATGATCAATATTTATTTTTGTAAAATTAACCTGCAGACTATGTTTCTAAACTTCTAGAACGTGTAAAATTGTCCATTTATATGAATTAAAGTATATAATATGCAAATGATCTTAAAAGAGTATTTGCATATTACGGTGCTTTTTTACACAAATGTTGCAATTAGGTTTGGTTATTTCAAATTTGGTGTAATTTTAAATTTATATTTTCTTTACTATATGGAATTGTTGGTCAAAGAAAATAGTAAGTTGTGGTCACATACCATGCACGGCTTTAGGGTAAATCGACATCTTCATTATTTACCACTTTCCGAATATAATAGGAATAACAATAGGAATAACAAGAACAACTTACACTGGTGTAAAAATAATAAATCTTATACCTAATCTTATTCGCTAATTTTCGGGCATCAGACAATCATAATATATTGGATTACACTCATTCTTACACTAGTGTAAAAAGATTTTGTCCCAATATAGCATTATAAAAATTATACTAAAATGTATGTTAAGCCAACAATTCCATAAAACTAATATTAAAATTTTAAATTTATGTAAATATGAAAAAAAAATTACTACAAATTCGTGATTGAGACCTATAATTTTCTGGAATTCACATTATTTATCTCACAAATAAATTTGAAATTACACTATATAATAATGAAACGTAATTACAACGTATAAGTTAAAAAGCCTATTACCAGCTAAACATCAAAAAACAGTGAAGAAATTTAAAAAAAAAATTATTAGATGTGAAGTTATTAAGAGCAACAGCAATACTCCACAATTCAATATGGTTAACTGAATCGAGAGGCATAAATCGAATATATCAAAGGCTTAAATTATAATAGAGAAGAGCCAACCCATCTACCTCTCTCACACACACAAACACACTCAGAAATATATAAATGATGCACATAAATATTCACTGACAACATAATTAAGAATGCAAAATTCATATCCTAAATGAGTTCTTCAAATGGAAAGAGAAGTGAAAACAGTATACAATACCATACCTTGAGCTAGGATATTCAAAGAGCTTCCCAGTAGCTGAGAAAATGACAAGACCAACCTCAGCATCGCACAGCACAGAAAGCTCTTCAGCTTTCTTGAAGATCCCTCGTCTCCTCTTAGAGAAGGTCACTTGCCTCGCCGTTACATTGTCAATTTTCTTGATCTTGATCTTCCGCCTCGCCATCGATGTTAATTATTTCTGTAGAAAACAGAATCAAAAGTCATTTTCCATATATTTTTTTCTCATAATAATATATACATAAATTATGAAATAAGAAAAGGTCATATATATAACAAATAGGCTTTATTAATCTCATGCAATAGGAGAAAAGCTCTCTCATACTACAGAGATAATCATGTGTGGGACCCACCCATGAAAAAAAAAGCAATACGAAAATTGATGTATGTGTAGGAAAGAAAAACACTCTTCTACAAGATAAGAATATATTTTCCCATAACAAATACTGGGTTTCTGCTAAATTTCCAGATTTAGTCAACTCAAAGTCTAGTGAAAAACCCTAGTGAAAAACCAGTGCCAGATCTGGTTAATAGGAAATCCAGTAAGAGAAAACCTAACCTATAAAACTAAAAAGGAAGCTCATTAGCATGCCATAGTCCAAAAAAGCTTTGGTTGGATGGGTTTTCATTTTGTTGATTTAATTTGTCACTACCCTGGTGTGCTTGTTTTGCACTCCAGCTCTATCTAGACCAGTGAAAGCCAAAAAGAAAAAATAAATAAAAATATTACCGAAAATAGAAAGAAAACATTATAGCGGACTTTTATAATTTAGGACGCAAAAGAGATAGATGAGGCAAGAAAGAGAACCTGGTTGAAATTCTGGCTGGATTTAAAGAAAGGGAAGGGGCTCTTCTCCCAAATATAGCTAAATGATCGAACCTTCTACTTTATTACTAAAAACCTTAAGTTTTTCAGCCATTTTATTAGCTAAAAATGGTCAAGTCTGCCGGTGGTAATGTAAACTCAAAACTAAACCAAGGCCGCATATTTGAATGCTCAATTCTATTTTTAAAAAATAATTTTTTAACGAGTAAACACCATTTTTGGTCTCTAATAATATCTACTAAATTCTTTTTAGTCCCTGACAATAAAAAATGATCAAATTGGTCCCTAACAGTATGTAAAAGGGCCACGTTAGTGACGGAGGAGTTGACATAAGGACTAATGTGGCCCTTTTTTCATAATTTTAGGGATCAATTTGATCGTTTTTTATTGTCAAGGGCTAAAAAAGATTTCGTAGATATTGTCAGGAACCAAAAAGGGTGTTTACTCTTTTTTAATTTTTAGAATAAAAAAACTGTTTAATAATACTTGTTTTAAATAAATAATTTTAAAATTATAATTATTTTTTAGTTTTTAGAATCAATTTAAAAAATATATTTCAATTATCTATGTTGTGTTTTGACTTTTAACTTTAAAAAAAAACATAAACACATTTTTCGTTGACTACTTTTCAAAATAGTTTTAAGAAAAAAAAAATTACAATCAAACATGCCTAAATATGAATTTTGTTTTCAAAAATGATTTTTTAATTTATAAAATAAAAATAAAAAAATTGTTTGAAAATACCTATTTTGTAAAAATAATTTTAAAAATTATAATAATATTTAGTTTTTAAAAACAAATTTAGAGAAAATGCATACATAAGTTGTTTCTATTTTGTATTTTGACTTTTAATTTTTAAAATAAAATTTTTTTAAAAAAAATTATTTTATTAACTATCCTAAAAAATAATTTTAGAAAAAGAAAATAATCAAACATATACTTTTTTCTAATTTTTTTTATCAGATATTCCTACTGGTATTATTCATATATCTAATTCTAATAACACTAGCGTTTTCAACAACAAAAAAAAAAAAAACACTAGCGTGATTAAAAGATTTTAAAAGTGAAAACTATTGTATTCTGTTTTTTTTGTTCTTAAAACTATTTTAAAGAATAGTTATAGAAACGTGTATTTATTTTTTTTATCTTAAAAGTTAAAAATCAAAACACAAAACAAAAACACCTTAGACATATTTTTAAAATTTGATTCTAAAAATAAAAAATAGTTACAATTTTTTATTTTATTTTTTCAAAATAAACCTTATCAAATGAGCTTTTTATTTTGAAAACCAAAAAAATATTTTTAAAAATAAACAAGGCCTTAACTACTACTTTTTCTTGCTGGCACATAGTTTATGGGTTTATTGTTTCTCGATCTTATATGAGATAAATTTATTTTTACGTAGACATAAAAGTGTGTGGTTCATCTTTTTTTTTTCTACTTTATTACTAATTAGCTTGTATTAAAATTATTTTCTTATATTGTGATTCAATTAATAATAAATCTTACTTTTATAAAAAAAAATTACATGTAAATCAAAAAGTCACGACATGATATATGAGAAATAAATCAATAAAGATATCAATTGAAAGATTATCAATCTTCATCGTTTAATTTTTAAATGAATTATATATCAGACAAAAAAATTATTAAAAGTTATAAAATTCACTATATATAATTATATTGTGGACTACAGCTTTCCCAAAATACTAGCCATACATATTTCTGCAGACTGGCGTGTTGTCTCATCGCCATAAAACATGACCAATCGTACTTGTACGGTTCTCCGGCTCCTCTATATTCCCATCAAGTCATTGGGTAATCTTTCCTGTGCAACAGCACTTTAAATAGGTCACATGCAGGATAATAGGTCACTAATTGAATCAAATAAATATTTATAGCTTCATAGTTCATAGTTAAAATTTTAGAAAATTACAACACAATTTAATAAGTTTATATTTCAAATTCTAAAAGACTATAACACAAATATCTAAAACAATTGTAGCATAAAAAAAAACAAATTTAAAACACAATTAATTGATGAAGATTCACAAAATAAGCTTAAAAAGCACCCTCTCCCTTTTATATGCCTTGACACAATAACAGCCGGTTTGTTTTTTCTTTTAAAAAAAAATAATTTTTATCTCTTTTTTATTTTAGAAGTTTTTTTCACAAAAGTTAAAGTTATTTATATTTTTATAAAAATATTTAGTTGTTGAAAAAAAATATTTGGCTTTTGACTTCTGCTTTTTTTAGAAGTTGAAATTTTTAGCTTATGGAAAAAGTAAGTTTTTGGCTTTTTTTGTGACTTCTGTTTTTTTAAAGCAGATATCCAAATGAACTAAAACTGAAAAGTGTTTTTTTAAAGATAAAAAACTCATCCAAACGAGCCCTAAAAATCGTATGGCTCATATTTCATATAGTGATGAGGGTTTTTGTTGTCGGGGTTAGCAGAAAAGTAACTGGGAGCAAGGATTCGGGGGGAAGCGCCCCCAGACCTGTAGAGACTACGTACTATTGTGAGCCTCTAATTTATTATAATTTTCGTAGCAGCTTGGATTTAGGCCCATAAATAACTGTTGTAAGAATTTTCTAATCCTATTTATATTTTCCTTGTAAATCGAGTGACTTGTAACGAGTGGAGGTAAGGTGAATATAGTACAGACAAGTTGGACGTAGTCTATATTAGGTGAACCAGGATAAATCACCATGTGAATCTCTCTTCTATTTTCTCTTTTATGTTTTTGTCGATTTTTTGTGATTATCGATTTCTAACACTCAACCACTCTTAAACTTGCTTGATGGAGTTGCTCAAAATTATATGAATCATAAATTCGATGATAGTATTATAATATTAGAAAAGTCTTAATTTTCAACGGAAATTTTCATTCATTTTTGGTCGACAACATTTTGACATAATTTTCGACGAAAATTATTACAAGATTTTTCTACCGAATTTTATTCATTTTTCGTTAAAAAAAATTGATGGAATTATTTTTCTGTCAAAAATCTTTAAAATATTTTCGGAATTTCAAATTTTTTCCATTGAAACTTTTCACGAAAATTATTCCGACGAAATTTTTTTACAAAAATTATTTCTGTCGAAAGTTTTCTACGGAATTTATTTTCGTCGAAATTTTTTGACGAAATATCTAATTTCGTTGAAAAAATTATTACCAACGAAGGGATATTCGACGGTTTCATTTTCGATGGAATTTTTCCGTCGAAAAAAAGCTTTTTTTAGTAGTGTTACTATCTAATATACATTGTTAAGAAATTTAATTTGTTCAACCAATCAAGTAGTTTTAAAAAATTCGATACAAATATATTAAATACTTATTCTAAGTTAACTTAATATTTTTAGTATATGTAAACTAGTTTGTAAAAGTAACAAAATTTATATATACACACACGCAAACTAAAAACAAATTATTTCTTGTTATATAATATTTTGTTTATGGGGATATGCTCTAACAATCATTTTAAAAAATAATTTATTGACAACTTAGCTTATTTTACACGAAGACAATTATAATAAAATATTTACTTCTAAAGAGGTTTTATTTTTCTAAAACGTAAGGGCGAATACCTTTTTCTCAACTAAAGCAAACATACTATGGGGCTGTTTGGTACACGGATTTTTCTCAGATTTTTGGGAAACTGAAATTTTTAAAATTTTAAATTTTCAGATATTATTGTAAACTGAATGTAAAAATTATTTTTTTAAAATCGAGATTTCGGACAAATAAAAATTTCTAGTGTACCAGACGCTCCCTATGTTAATTTGGGAGCAGGAGAAAGGAGAAAGATATAAATGGGTTAGCTTTGCTTGCTTGGCAATTTGCAATTAGCATTTAGAAATAGCATTACATTTTTTTTGTTTATGTTTAGATATCAGCCTCACTGAATTAAAATTGCTTTATCTTTCTCTTTTTTCCCCTGATTATAAACTAAAAAGAATAGAGCGGAAGAATGTCATTTCGTAAGGAGGGTATCACTAATATGAGATAAGTTATTCTGTCTATTCTTATTTTGTCTATCTCTTTCAATACTGTCAAATTATAATTTCATCTAAATAGAGATTTACGGAATAAAATAAACTGTTTTACCTTTTTCTTTCCCACCCTTTATCTCTATCGCGTCGTCAAGATTCCATGGAGAAAGGAGAGATAAGAAGGAATTAAAAGAAAAAAGAATTAATCCACAAAGCAAAAATTCACTACGAAGAAAACCTGTGATTGTTGACTGCCAAAAAAAAAATAAAAAAAATCTAACTCGTTGATTTGTAACAGTTTTTACTTCTTCTTTTTTTGGATATATTGTTGATTGCCAAATAAAAACCTGCGATTGTTAATTACCATAAAGCAAATCAGCCATTACCACAAAAGCTCCTTGATTGCAAAAAAAAAAAACATGTGATTGTTGATTACCAAAAAAAAATAAAGGTAATCTAACTGTTGGCTTGCAGCAGTTTTTTTTTTTTGGTAGATTGTTGATTGCATTTGGATGGAGTGTTAGCTAGACATTCATGTTGCAATTGGTAGACCTGTGATTTGTTTCAAGTTCTGTTCAAACTAGATCATTGATTTTCTATTTGTAATTTTGTATTTGCTTCTTTAAATTTTCAAATCTGATGATTCCTGCATTTGATATAGTTGTCTCTTGGTGAAGCTGGACTTGTTCCACTCTTGTCTGTGTTTTGCTAATATGGTTGGTGTTTTAGGTTTTGATTTTGCTTCGTCCCTCCCCGTTTTGATTTGGTAGTGATTTTGTGCTTTGTAAGTTAATTCTTTTTCCTTTTAATTTCTTCTTCTTCTTTTTTCCTTTTTTCCTTGGACACCGTTAGGATTTGGTGCTATAAAGAGAAATGGGAGGAGAGAAAATAAAATAAAATAACTTATTATATTCCACAAATCTTCACCGTTAGATAAAATTATAATCTAACGATGTTAAGAGTAGTAGACAAAAGTAGGTCAATCAAGAATAGACAGAATAACTTATCCTTAAATATGATTGGATAAACAACGTCAACATCATCATTTGGATAATTTGTATGTCTGTAAATTTTAATACATATTACCTTTTTCTTAATAAGTTGCAAAGGCGGTAGCCCAAAAAACACAAAAAAATAGGAAATTACGGTTCTGTTTAATTGAGTTCAGATCTTTTTTTCTTAAAACAATTTTGCATAGTAGTTGATAAAATAAGTGTTTTTTGTGTGTGTTAATTTTGTCCTTTAATACATAAAATTGTGTAATCAGAGTCAAAATTATATTATTTTATAGTGAGAGAAACAGTTATATAATAGAAATTATGATTGAAAAAATATGAGGTTTTTTAATTTAAATATTAAACAAAAAATAGTTATTTAACTAAAATAACTCTCCTTTAAAAAGATAAATATTTTTTTTAAGTTAAAAATTAAAATATAAAACAAAACAACCGAAAGATTATCTAAATTTGATTTTAAAAATAAAAAAACAAATATCACTATTAAAATTATTTTTACAAAACAATAATTATCAAACAAGTTTTTTTTTATTCTGAAAATAAAAAATAAAATTCAATCATGCCCGGAAACAAGACTCTAAGCAGGAAATGCTAACTTAGGAGAGATCTGCCTAGAAACCCAAAGGAACTAGATTAATTCATGCGTTTCCTCTTTAACCAACGTAGTGTAGCATACATGCTAATTTAAACTGAAGAATATTACTTTATTCTGCATAGTGCTCTAAATTCGATTTTATAATTGATTAATCATAATATTATTTGTTCAACAAATTCGATCGATTGATACGGGTTGAATTTCTGTTTCGATTGAAGAACCCGTAACAAAAATTCAAAACATTATTTCCTTTTATTTAGCCATCTCTATGTTGCAATTTCACCCTGTAATATTTGTTAATCATTGCCTGAATGCGAGACATTGTAATACTAACAAATAAAATAATAATAATAATAATAATAATTTAGCACCCAAGCGCATTGGACAACGTTGCATCAAGGAAGAGAGGCTCGTATATATATATATATATATGACATTGGTGGATAAATACCAAAAGATATTTCCAAAGCCAAGGAACATAGATTATTTGGACAACATTCAAGGATGCATTTTTGAAAAAATATTTCCCTCAAAGTGTAAAAAACAGAAAAGAAATAGAATTCTTTGAACTGAACCAAGGAAATATGACAAATGGTGAATATGTGGCAAAATTTGAGTAATTATATAGACATTCTAACTATATACAGAATCAACCTAATGAGGAATGATTGACAACTAAATTTAAATCTAGACTAAAACATGAATTAAAAAGTATAATAATAAGACACCAAATCAGGAATTTTTAATACTTAATAAACAGGTGTAGAGATATTGAAACAAGTATGAAACATACTACAAGTATGAAGGAGGTGTAGACAAAACTTTAAATCGAAGAAGAAATAATGACAAAAAAAAAAGAAAAGTCATTTGATAATGTAGTAAATAGTTACAATTTAACAGTTATATTAATAAAAATTGTTATTTGTAAAGCAACCTTTATTTTTCTCTCACATATAAAGAGCACGTTATACTTATTATTTTCTTAGTCTTGCTACCTTCATTATCACATTTTTTATTAGGTTTTATTAATCTCCTTCTACGTAAGATAGTTATTTTATGTGGTAGAGAGAAAATGAGTGGGTCCCACTATTGTAAGAAAAAAGAAAAAGAAAAAAAAAATAAGGTGCGAAAATTGAAATGAGAGAAAATGAGATAAGTTAGCTTACGAGATAGGAGAATAATATTTCTCTTTTTATTATCAGAGCAAATGCAAATCCACGTCTCTTAGTTAATATCAATCTTTTTTCTCACTATTGGATCTCACCCTCTGTCACCTTCCTTCTCATTATTCTCTCAACCTCCTCCTTCTCATCTCGATTCCAAAGCCAACTCACTTTATGGTCAGCCTCAAATACATTGATTTTTGTATTAGAAAAGCACAAAACATAAAAATCACTTATCTTCCTTTGCTTTATGATTTTCAATTTAACTTCACAATGAGATTTCCTTCTCCTTTAAGTGCATAATTAATATTGGACTTTTCTATCATTTGTGAAAAGTTATTAATGAAACACATACGCACCCGCTCGCACGCACACGCACACATATGTGTGAAAAATAGAGGTGTAGATAGAGGTTTGGTTTTTATTTTTTGCAAAAATATACTTGAAACCAGAGTTTTGTACATGTGTTGCGTCAAGTGGTTTTACAATTTGGAAAAAAATTAGTTAACTGTTATTATAGATCAAGTGGGATATCATTAAGCTACTTTAAAAAAACACAATTAAAATATTTGATGTGATTGAAGCAGCATAAAAGAAGATGAACAACACAGAGAGGGAAGGAGAAGCACCATTAGATGAGACACATATGAGGTTTGGGTGCAAATAGTAATATAAAGTCATTTTCTCGGACTCTGAGACATATCATTGAGCGAGAGACTATGGAGACATGGGTTTTGGCATCAACGAGGGTGAGTATAAAGAGGTATTTTGGAAGGAAAAGAAAATGAAAGGTTGTTGTGGATTACCTGAGTGAGAATGTGAGAGGTGAGAGACAGAAAAAAAATTATAATTAATTTAGAGTCCTTGATTTACATTTGATTCAACGGTGAAAATGTAGTATAATAGTAGTAAGATTTTAGAGGTAGTAGGTAAGTGTGTAAAATAATAAATAATAAATTTTACACTCAATTTTAATAGTTAATTTTTGTATATCTAATTATTATAATATATTGAAAACTAATAATTAATTAATAAAAATAATTTAATTAATTGTAATCATTTGATGGATGAAAATTAATGACTAAAATTGAGTATAAGATTAATTATATATATATATATATATAGAATTGAAATTATAAAAAATATATTCATAATTAAATGAAAAGTTCGAGTTCAAAATTTAAGATGAAAATAAATTAGAATAATATGTACAATCTGTGAAGGAAAAATATACTAAAAGAATTAAATCTTTCAATAGTATATTCTAAATTAATATATAAGAAAAGAGTGAAATAATTAAAATTTGAATGGAATGAGAAAATTTTAATGCAAAAAATTAAAATTAAATATTAATTTATTAATATAAACAGTTAAACATAATTTTTTTAAAATAATTAGTGGTGTAGTTTTTGTAAAAATATTTAATACAGATGAAACCATATATCTTTAACAGAAACAAATATAATAAAAATTACAAAAATCTCAATATTATTATTTTATTACATATATATATTGGATTCTTACAAAAATAGGAAAATAAAATTATCTGTCTGATTTTATATGTGACGGATATATCTTAACTATCCATTATTAGATTAACATCACAATTTCAATGACGGAGTGCAAAACAATAAAGGAAAAAATAATTACATTAATTTTTAGTCATTAATGTATCCATAAATAAATGATATGTTTCATTAGGCTGACATAATTACTGCAAGAATACATTTCCTAGTTACTCTTCCTTGAAAAAAGGTGAGTGAAGCGAGTAACTTCACACTTCTCGGTGTGTCAGTCCCTCTACCTGCAACGCATTTCGCTGGTTCTCAGTTCTCACTCTCTCTCACGAACAAAGAAATAAAAAAAATGCAGAACGCACAGAGAACTGAAGCAGAACGGTTGCTAGGGGTAGCAGAGAAGCTCTTACAGAACCGAGATCTGATCGGGTCAAGGGAATTCGCCATCCTCGCTCAGGAAACGGAGCCTCTTCTGGAAGGTTCCGACCAGATCCTCGCCATCGTCGACGTCCTCATCGCCGCCGAGAAGCGCGTCAACAACCACCCTGACTGGTACTCCATCCTCCAGGTGGATCGCCGCTCCGAAGACATCGACTTCATAAAGAAGCAGTACCGCCGCCTCGCCCTCCTCCTCCACCCTGACAAGAGCCGCTTCTACCTCGCCGATCACGCTTTCAAGCTAGTCGCCGACGCATGGAACGTTCTGTCCGACCCACTGAAAAAGTCTCACTACGACAAGGAGCTCTTCTCCTTCTTCACCCGGGTCGATTTGTCCGTTCCAAGTTGGGTCCAGCAAGATAAGTTGCCGGTTCGCAGGACTGGGCCTGGGCTCGGGTCTGGGCCCAACTTGGGATTCGATCCGCGGAACAGAGGTAGCGCCGGCGTGAGAGACGAGATTTCTTCGGATGAGAACTCGCGGAGGAGGACAGCGACTTTCTGGACGGCGTGTCCGTACTGTTACCGGTTGTACGAGTACCCAACGTTTTACGAGAGTTGTTGTTTGAAGTGCCAGAATTGCGACAGGTCCTTCCACGGCGTTGCGGTTCCGTCTTTGCCGCCGCTTGTGCAGGGACAGGAGGCTTATTATTGCTGCTGGGGTTTCTTTCCTATGGGGTTCGTCATCGGAAGCCTTGGCTCTGCAGAGAAAGAGGCTGCGCCGCCGCCACCACAGCCCGCACAGCAGCCACCAGCACCACAGCAAGCACCGCAACCACAGCCACAGCCTGCTTCTACACTTCCGAATTGGATGCCTGTTCCGGCGCCGGCGCCGGCGGATAATGGTAGGAATAATGCTGAACCGACGGTGGTGGTTCCTAGGGTAACTAGGAGGGCAGCTGCTGCGGCTAATCGGAATGGGGTTGCTTCGGGAGCTGTTACGCGGACTCGAGGTAGGCCACGGAAGTATCCTCGGCCCTAGTGAAGAACGAGGTTTTATATATATTTTTTCTTTTTATTTTGTCTCTAGAACAATGTTTCAGACGGCATTTGGGTTTTTTGATTGTAAACTGCGAAGCTTGGTTCAAGATGTGGCTGAACTTGAAGGTGCTTTGTTTGTTGAAATATGAAGTGTTAGCGAGACTTCGCTAACATGGTGATGGGGATCAAAGAAGGATGGAGCTGCTTCGGCTGGAAAGTTTGTAGGTACTGTTGTGTTGTTTACTCTTGTTTTGTAGATATAGTTAGCTGATTGTCTCAACTCATTGGTATATTTAATTCTGTAGTATCTGCTATAGAGTTGTTTCACCTAGTTGTTGAGGAAGAGAACAATGTCACTGGTTTACTGTAATTTAAATTAGATTCACAGAGCCTTGGCTGCTGATTTTCTTTTTGCAAGTGGTTTTGAAAACATGTTTGTTGATATGGTTTATGGTAGAATTATGAAAATATAGATGTTAGGTGTTTTATCCTTCAGATCGCTTGGACAAGAGATGGGTGGGAAGCTCTCTAGTACCATCCTTCAGTTTCAATCTCTAATATTAAGCCTCTTGAACATCTACCCATCGTTTCGGTCCATATCCTTTTTTCCTCCAAAGCTATTTGGTTGTGTTGTGTTTGTCCATGTCATGTCATATCAATAGTTCAAACTTGATCCCAAATCTCACAAATGTGTTTTTATTGGATACTCTCCTATTCAAAGGAGATATAAGTGTTATTCCCCATCTCTTCGAAATGTCCCTGTGTATATGGATGTCAATTCACCTTTGAAACAATCTGTTTTTTTAGCCTTCTCTTTAGGGGGAGCTTATAGATGAAGATCAGTCATGGGAATCCACTAAACCAATAATGTTACCTCTTTCCTTATCCACCCCTCCATCACAGATTTCACCACAATTGGAAACAAGAGAATACAACAATCAACAGAAACAACTGTTGGTATTTACGTGAAGAAAGTCTCCTTAAAGTGTAAACGATTTGGAACCTTTGCAATTCTAGGATTTCCCTTAGGATTCTAGTTCTTGCAACCTACATTCAGTTCACCATGAAATTGAGGATTTACATTTGCCCATTATTCTAAGGAAAAGTACTAGCTCTTGTACCACACACCTTCACCTTGTCTTTCATTATATCTCCTATGAAAAGTTGCCCTTTAGTTTTCGTGCCTTTATTTAACAGTGTTGGTTAGTACAAAATTATCAAGATGTTTCTAGGAAGCCCTCGATTGTCCTAGGTTGAGATATATTGTTCTAGAAGAAATGGGTGCCTTTGAAAAGAATGGAATTGTGGAATTGCCTAGGGGAAAGCACCATGTGGGTTGCAAGTGGGTGTTAATTATAAGATTTAATGCAGATGACATTAACAGATGCAAGGCAAGACTAGTTGCAAAATATTTACCCTGAAACATGGAACATATTATCAAGAAACATTTGCTCTAGTGGTTGAGCTCAACACTGTTTGAGTTGTCATATCTCCTGTTGCTAATCTTGATTGGCCCCTACAACAACTTGTTGTGAAGATTGCTTTTTTGAATGATGATTTACTTGAGGAAGTTTACGTGGATTTCTCACCTTGTTTCGAAAAAGGAGGCAGTTTGGTATGTAAGTTAAAGATGTCTCTTTATAGGTTTAAAAAATCTCCTAGAGAATGGTTTAATAAATTCACTCAAGCAGTTAAGGGTTAAGGTTTCCTACAACCCCCAACGGATACATACTCTTCTACAAACGCGGTAAGGATGGTAAGGTTACTATTTTTTTTAGTTTTTGTGGATGACATAATTACTACCGGAGATGATTGTGAGAAGTTTGATTCTCTTAAGAGATACCTAGCGTACCAACTTGAATTAAAGGACCAGTGGAGCCATAAAATACTTTCTTGGCTAGAGGTAGCTCAGAGCAAGACAAGGATCACAATTTCTCAAAAGAAGTATATACTAGATCTGCTCCAAGATACAGGCATGCTAGGATGCAGACCAGCAAGACACTATGGAACCTAATGTAAAGTTGAGCATTGAGGGTGGAGAGGTGGACAAAGAGCAATTTCAGAAATTGGTTAGTAAACTAATCTATCTATCTATCTCATACACAACTTGGCATTGTGTATCTAGTAAGTACGGTCAACCAATTTATGCACTCACCTGACATCAGATTATTGTACCTTTGTGTAAGGCAACCTAGTTACTTGGATAAGCAAGAAGCAGCCAATGGTGGCTAGGCGTAGTGTAGAATCGAGTTTCAAGCACTAGCTCATGGTGTTGTGACGGGATCTGATTTAAGACAACTCCTTGATGAGCTAAATATCTCTTACTCTTCACCGATAAGGTTGTATTTTGACAAGCTAGCAATTAGTATTGCTCAGAATCTTGGTTCTCCATAACTGTACCAAGTATGTGGAAGATGATTGCCACTTCATCAAGGAAAAATTAGATTATGAAAGTATGTGTGTAACATATAATCTCACTAAGGAGCAGAGCACACGCATTTTCTCTAAAAGCTTACATACTACCTTTGAAGATTTGGTAAGCAAGTTGGAAATGATCCTTGCGGGGGAATGTGTAAAATCTTTAGGATATCATTGTATTTTAGGAAAGATATGAAGTCTCTTTGGGATCAAATCAAATAGTATCTGTTATAATTTTTTGTCAATTAGGATTGATCCTTGTAATTGCTTAATTTCCTTATTTTCATTTAGGGTATGTTGTATATATTATAATCACACCCTTTTAGGGAAATCGTGTCAATACAATATTTTTACAGTCGTTGTGACTATTTTTGCAGAATGAAGTGCTTTCTAAACTTATGAACCCATTTGAAAAATAGAAATTGCGAACATATAGCTTAATGCATAAAGTGTTTATCAATGTTGTATTTCTGTGTTGAGAAATGCTAGCAACACTCTTCTCAACGCATTTTCTATTATTATTGGGTGAATTTGATGTGGGTGCTACTAAATAACCTGGGCTCCCTCTATTTAGTGCCTGTTTGGATTCTCTCTTTTTTAAGTTAGAAGCTACTTATAAGCATAAGCTAGGGCAAACAGATTTTGGGAAAAACTCTTATAATGAAAAGCTCTTTTTTTTATAATGAATAAAAAAGCTGAAAACTAAAAGCTCCTAGGAGGAGCTTTTTTTTAAGCTCTTATCTGTTTTTCTTGAATTGTGTGTTTTTTTTTAAAATGAAGAGTGATAAAGATATAGAGAGAGATAATCTTCTTGAAATATGTGCTTTTAAGTAAATTTTAAGCTAAAATTTTTATGTAATTTCCAAACAGCTTTTAGCTTCTTTTTTTTAAGCTCTCTTTTTTAGCTTTAGCTTATAAGTAGCTTCTAGCTTAAAAATAAGAGGATCCAAACAGGCTTTTAGTATCAAATTCACCCAATAATAGTGTGTGTTGTTAGCATTCTTCTTACCAGGTGAACACTTAGTTTATTATGCATTGCTTTATTTGGAGGATGCTTCAACCTGAGATTTACGTACTGAAGCATCTTATGAGGATTTAGAGGTTATACATTAAGTTCGTGTGTCTCGTTGATGATGAACTAGTTTGAGACTAAGGCTTATTTAAAGTTCTTTGGGAATCTCAAGGCACTCATTACTCGTGTGCTATATTGCTTTTTGCAAACTGATATTCCATGAAAATATTCCGAGGATTAATCAAAATCCAACTCAAATGTAGCTTGATTCGTGCAATAGCTGATGGTGAGAGTATCTAGCATTCCCTGTGTCGTTCATTATTGGTCTAGTGCATTACAGATGAACAAGTTAGAGGTGGTAAAGAATCTCATTTTGTTTTCTTTCCTGATGTATAGAGGGGGGTCATTTTAACGCTCAGGTAGAAATTTGTCAGCTGTATATATCAGACAAAGAACCTCTAACCTCGTTACTCATGTCTAATGGTAATACAATCTTCTTATTGCAAACACTTTATCGAGAACGTAATTCGCGGTATGATATTTCTAAGAATATCGCAACACACTCAATTTTCTGCCACTAGAACACAAATATCTTTTATGAAGATCGTTACTTGACTACGTTGAATACAAATGCACAGAAGTCCGAACTTGCTTAGCAAAAAGAGAGTGAGTTGGCACTCGTAGTTGGTATGCATGATAGGGTTCTTTGTTCCAGGTTCTTGTGCTGTGGCATTATGGCTCTTTAAGGCCGCCATTGTTGAGGACCTTTACTGGGGGGCAATGTAATAGGACAGATATTACTGATTAACGAAGAGGAAGAAAGAGAGTGAGAATGGCATTTCATGTATGTTCTACTACTTTTCTCGTTGTCATTGCATCCTCTTTTAGGTTGTCATTTTTACTCAAAACACTTCATAATGTGGATATATCAACTAGAGTGAATGAATCAGGAGATTCGATTATTATTTGTCTATTGAGAGAGCTACATGGCTTTGTTAATAACAATTTAGGAAGAACCTGTCTAAACTCTAAACCTGAATGGCTCCATAATTATTATGAATCCGAAAATTACATATTATACCCGCATGCTTTGATTAGGTGCGAGAATTTATTGCCAGTAATGATGGTAACCATCATCTATGCAATCGGAATAATTAAGGTGAGATATTGTAATATATAACACGAGACATCATTGGCATAAGTGGTTGCATGATTATTACCAACGAAATCTAGATCGATTGGTTACCAGTTTACCGGTTCACAATCCGGTTATCAACGCATCAGCTCTGGAGGCATGTCCGGATTGGCCACTGAACTAGTTCTTAGCAGTCTTTCTGACTGGCAAGTTCGGTCCAATTTCGAACTATGTCGTTTTACATATATTTTTAAGAAGAAAACTCCTTTAAAGTAAGATTGTTATCGAAGAGTATAATTTAAGTTAATTACATCAAGATATTAACTCATAATAAGTTAAAAAAATATATACACCTTTTACTCGTGTAGTCATGACTCATGCAATTTAGAGGAAGTTTATTCATGTTTTCTAGGTTTAGAAGAAAGCTACCGAATAGCTTAATGTGATGGGTGTTAGAACGTGTTTATGCATGGGATCTTGACTTTCAAGGTGAACATGGAGGAGGAATGAGTGAATTGGGTTCCATCTGAACAACATGATTATATATGGGTTTCTTGTTTCGTGGGTTTACTCCCAGTAGGAGCCGTGAGGTAGCACTAGCACACATTGAATGGTACAAAATAAAAAATAAAAATGGGCCCGGTCTTCTGCTTTCTTTCTTCTTTTGAGCAGCAAATTGTCTTAGAATCTTTCGAATTAATCGTGTCTGCTGTCATTTGTATATGGGAAAGGATTTTCCTAGCACAAAATCATGCATGTTATGAAAAGAGTCGTTGTAAGGCTAAAGGTTAGTCAATTTCCTTGTACTCATGTTCATGTGGTTTTGCGCTACAAAATACAAATGGCATAGCT